ACGGCTGTCGTGTTCCTTGACCTAGAGGGAGTCTTCGACTCAGTTGATCGTGAATCCCTTATGGGTTCAATCCTTCGCAAAGGAATGCTGCAGAAGTATGTGAATATACTGAGTTCACTCTACTGACATACTTCTGGTACCGTAAGGGCCAACAGCGAGCTGATTAGATCGTTCTTAACTAACAGCGGTGTTCGTCAGGGGTGCCCTCTTTCAACATTCCTGTTCAATTTCGTCATAGACGAAATACTAGAGGACACACTAAGTGGTCTCCAAAATGTTGGTATTGAATGGGCAGCTGGAGAAGAGCTGTGTGGTTTGGAGTACGCTGACGACATCGTTTGCTTGTTCGAATGTATGGAGGATGCACAAAGAGCACTTAAAAGATTAGCAAGCTTTGTCGCTCCGTTCGACATGTGCTTTGCACCTTCAAAGTGCAAAGTGATGCTACAAGACTGGGTATCACCGAGTTCTGTTTTGAAATTAGACGGTCAGGAATTAGCTGAAGTTGACTGCTTCTCGTACTGAGGTAGCTGCGTGACCAACGACGGTAGCGCATCGAAGGAGATAACCGCCCGCATTTCCAAGGCTCGAACAGCGTACGCAGGACTAAAACACCCTTGGTTTAGACGTGACGTTTCACTGAAGTTGAAAGGTCGCGTATACTGCACCACTGTACGATCAGTTCTGCTTTAAGGTTGTGAGACATGGAATTTGCGGGTAGAAGACACGCATCGTTTGGGAGTGTTTGACAATCGATGCTTACGTTGTCTGGCCCAAGTGGGATGGGTTGAGCGGGTTAGTAACTTAGAATTAAGTCGTCGGGTGTTTGGGAATGCATCGAACCAGAACTCGCTATCTCATCGAATCCAGCTCAGTAGGCTCCGTTGGTTAGGACACGTTTTGCGTATGTCCGATGGTCGCCTACCGCAGCGCGCCTTGTTTGCAGTGACTGTTACAGGCTGGAGAAAACCACGTGGAGGCCAGCAGTTGACATGGAGATGAGGCATGAAGAAATGCATAGAGCGATTAGGTAGAGTAGGTGTCTCTCGTCTTCCGGGATGGGGTCCAATAGACTCCGAAACCGCATGTTTGGAGACACCGAAGGTCATGGCTGTAAACCGTTAGCAATGGCGATCATGCTGTCACTTCTTATCAGTCCAGAATGCTTGAAATGGTATGTATGCACAATTGGGCTGTGTACTCTGTATGTTGACCATAAAGGTTCGCTTTCTTTTCCCATCCCTAAAAGTAGGCTCAATCCCTGTCTTCCTTACACATTCTCACTTATCTTGTATACATTGAGTTTGGCAGCGATCAGTGAAGTTTGCTTCACTGTATTACGCTGTACAATGATGATGATGATGATGATGATGCGGATGTGTGGAGTAAGATGTCACATCCATGCGATCGATGAACACCGTCGCGTGGGTTCCCCTGTGTGAATGAATGAACGATAATCGCACTCGTTCTTGCTAGAGCACCAATGAGATTAGACAGGTCACACTGGTCAAAGGTCATCGTAACCCGGGTCTGACTCGTCCCTGACTGTTTGAGCAATGAACTTTTAATTTGCGAATCACTTTTTTACATCACGTGTTGAACTGGTCACTTATCCTCACCAACACTGGTCACAACGAATGTTTCGATCACCGGCAACAATAAAAGCGAACAAACTAACAAATACCTACAGACAATAATGCTTTACTTTTTTTACCAGAAACTCATGAATCATCAATAGATTACACAGCGAATAATGTTTGAAATATGAGAAAGAAGTCAATGCACTGAGTATACCTCGTGACAAATATTGCACTTGTTTTAGATAATGTTATTTCCTTTGAATGCGAATTTTTGTCCCACGCTCTCACCGTGTTAGACCCAGCTCATTCTTGTTTTTATCGAATAGGTTAGTAGTTATGTGATTATTATAGCTAAAACAGCTTTATGGACGCCATATGCTTAATTCTATGGTTCGCCTAAAATTTCGAAGTAATAGAGGAATATCTGGAATTGTTATGAAGTAGTCGAGTTGAAAAAATTCCCCTGAAGAAATGTGAGCAGTTTCGGGGTAACTATAAACTTGAAAGTGAAAACGGGCTGAATACCGGATGCACTGTACCGATAATAAGCTAAGGGCATCGTAAAAGATCTCAATTTCTTGTATGAAGGATACATCTGACGGTATATTTAAATTCGGTTATAGATAAACAGTACATAATTATAAACATTGGGAACGAAAAGCGAAAGTAACGTAGTTTTCATCGATCCGATTTATTTTGTCTCAAAACTCTCAACCGATTTTTCATACTACTTAATAGAGTTGACTACTGACTAACATGCTACGTCTCAGTTCCTGGAATTCACTCACTTTTTCGAATTCTCAAGTGGTGCGACAAAGCGGGAGAATGACTGTAGTTGATCCCGTTTGTTTTCTCATTGCATATCTGTTGTGGAGGTTTGTTTAATCGTTTCCCCCTATTTTTGACAGTACTCAATAAATTTGAGATGACAACGAGGATCATTTTGACACATTCCTGATATTTTCCACTGCGCCTTACTGTGACAATCAGTAGAATAGCCAAAGAATAGGCAAATGGATTTGATGACTGAATACTGCTTTTTTGACTTTTCATCGTTTAACAGCTTGTTAAGGAAATAAGTACCAATATACGTTGATCGCTCGAACTTGATTAAACATACGCCCTTGTAATTACCTGAGTCGGTTCTGACTTCAAGTATTTCTTTCATTTAGAGTTTGCAGGTTAAACCGCTTCAACGAGTGCAACTCCAGGACCAGAAACACAAAAATGGATTCACGTTTCCCACTGGGACAACTGGATCGCAGTGTCGAATCGACTGTAAAGCGCCTTGACCAAATGCTAGTGCAATTGGATGGCTATCGTCCTTTGTTGGAGCAAAACGTGACTTGTGCTGAATTCGACATTCGGGCAACATTCGACAGTCTAATTTGTGCTCTTGGACAGCGACAAATGCAACTGCTCAAACAATTGGATAAAATTGCGAAGGAAAAGACCATCGTAATTGAAAAGTAAATATCATCAATTGCGCTCAGTGAGTTCTTTCCAGTCAAAGACAAATGATCGAAAATTTGCGCGCAAATATTGTCGCTTGCATGTCCAATCGCAATAAAAACATTGGACAAATACAGGAATACCTATCCCGGTAGGCTTTCTAATGACTATTTATTTATATCTACATATTTTTTATAGAGCAGAGTCAGCTATTCTGAATTCCAGCTCAGCGCCGTTTGTCTCGTTTCGCACAGAAAAGTCTGTAATGCATCAAACTGTCAGCAGTTATGGACGAATAATATCTCAATATTGTGGTCATTTTGCCGATCCTAGCCAGCCTTCATCTTGTCTTCCTCGAGCCTTAGAAGAAGAAGATGAAAATGACGAGTCTGTCGATTGTGGTTATCGTGCTCAGTCCATGGTTTTCAACCGTATTCATGCACCGTCTTCCCACATAAAACCAGACTTGCTTCAGTGGTTATCCGAGGAGCATAGTTTTGATAACCAAAACCGCGGTCAATCAGAGCAAAAGATGGGTTTCTCCGCCTTATCTGGTTTGCCACTACTTCACTCGGGTTTGGAATCTCAAAGTGTAAGTGACGAATAAATGACAGCTAGGCAACTTTGACAAATCCATGTTTTTGTTGATTTTGGTTTGTTTTCTTGGATTTACTTCACACGTTCACGTTCCACCCTGTCCTCATTGTTCTCTAACTTGACCATAGAGCATTTCCTACAGAATGCTTTATCCGGTCTTGAACTCTTCCAATGAACACACAAAAATAATTTCATACTGCATCGGTCGTCGCGCAGAATAATCAGGACCGCGCTGCCCATTGCATCTAGCGGGGTGGGTAGTGATAAGTGGGCTACTGCGCAGATATCCCAACCTTTGTTTAACTCTTTGTCTTCCGTACTCAACCCTATCCCTTTACCCCTTCTACCGACCTGTAATAGTCCCTCAAGCAACTTGGATGTCGCTCACCAAAGGTCATTGCCAAATAGCACTGTAACTAGTTTTCCTGTAAATAAGGTGCAGATTCTGAAGCCTCGTCAACCTCTCATTCTGGGGGCTTTCAACGTGAGGACGCTTATGCAGGTGGGTTAACAGGCGTGTCTTGCACGTACAATGCAGTCTCTAGAAATCGATGTCTGTTGCATATCGGAGACACGAATTCAGGATCCTATTATTATGAGCCACCTGAGTGCGCCGGGTCTGTCCTCGAAGTATTTCCTTCGCACATCAGGAGACGACGCAGCCCTCTGACTGGGTCGGCGTGGTGAAAGTATCGTACTAAACGATAAAGCTGAAGCTTCTATGATAGATTGGGTACCCATCAATAGTCGTCTTTGCGCAATGAGGTTACAGTGATCAGTTAATGTTCGGAAGGGTAGCAACACCAAAAAGTGTGTTCATTATATCCGTGTATGCACCAACCAACTGCAGTCCCGCTTCACAAAAGGACAAATTTTACGACAAACTCGGTTGAGCCGCAACTCTGATATTATAGTGCTGGCAGGTTGGAAAACTGAGCGCATCCGAAGCCTGTCTAGGAGGCACTTCGCCCTTCCCGCCCAGCGAACAGACAACGGTGATCGACTACTTCAGTTCTATGCGGATCACCGGCTGTTCTTATCTAGCACCAGTTTTCGACACAGCTCTCGTCGAACGGCTACATGGTGTTCTAGTTCAACGGGCACATTGACCCAAATTGACCACGTAGCTGTAAGCTACTGTAGGCGTGGTTTAGTACAAGGTTGCAGATCTGATTGGTCCACCTGCGTTGAGCCGGATCATGCACTAGTTCTGCTACGCTTCGCTCTTCGACTTATTGGTCATCGGCAGAAATCGCCTCCTCAATTAGCTCACCATCGTCTGTGCGATCCAGCTGTCTGCGCACGTTATGAGGAGAAACTGGGGCAGGAGCTGGGAGAACCGCGATATACTGGAGTAGACCAACAGTAGAATCAGACTAGATTTGCGATGCACTCGGCTGCAAACTTGATTGTGAGATTGAGGATTGAGAGTTCCCCGAAGACATTGGATCTCTCAGGAGTCAGTAATCCTAATGGATCAAAAGCGAAAGATCCCAATCTGCCAGGATCAGCATAAGGACCGGTGTCGCCTGCAACGTCAACTCAGAAATAGCCTTAAGAAAGGTCGTGAAAATTGGTGGGCTGAAATAGCTAGTGAAAGGGAGGTAGCTTCTGCATCAGGGAATAGTCAAAGACCATTTCACCTGATACGCAGCACCGGAGGTCGTCGCATTCCGGTCAGTGAGATCATTTGCGATAAAAGTGGATGAAGCATCCACAAACAAGAACAACAACTTGATCGCTGGGCAGAGTATTTTAGTGAACAGTTCAATTGGCCTAGTGCTAATGTGGTCATTCCAGCAATTGCGGCGGAAACTCCATAGGTGGTAATATGCGAGCCCCCATCAGAATCAGAAGTATGAAGCTGCATTCAATCAATAAAGAAAAGAAAGGCTACGGGACCTAATGGGCTTCTCCCCATTCTTTTCAAGGTGGGCGGAGATTCTCTTGTCGACTCAATTACTAGCTTACTTCGCAGCATTTGGACGAAGGAGCGTATCCCTTTGTCCTGGGGTGAATCGATGATCGTCCCTATTTTCAAGAAGGGATCACGCGACGACTGCGCTAACCACCGTGGGATTAGTTTAGTTCCGATAATCACAAAAGTGTTGACTTCTGTGATACTTCGCCGCCTGATACCCTTAAGGGAGAGAAATATCCGCTAACAACAAGCCGGATTCCGACCAGGTCGCGGGTGCATCGGCCAAATCTTCACTCTGCGTCAAGTCCTCGAATTGCGTCGCATACGTCGTCGGCCAACAATCACAATATTCCTTGACCGAAAAGGAGCCTTCGATTCAGTTGACTTTGAAGCTCTTCTGGGGTCGCTGCTCCGCAAAGGAATGCCGCGGAAGTATGTAAACCTATTGCAGTCGTTATATCTGCATACTTCTGGTAGCGTAAGGGTTTACGGTGGGCTAAGTAAATC